TCAACGAATACATAAGAAATGTATTCTGTTTACATATTATAAAAATATAATAAGAACATTGCGTTTTTGGGGTGATTGAACGCGTTTTAAGAAATAGCTTTTCTGCGTACCAACCTATCATCATTTTGCGAAACGGGACGATGATGCGTTGTATATTTTGGTTTTCGCGAAAGTGAGATGCCTTTTTGTTTTGAAATATTGAGGTTAATGACCCGTTTGGGTTCTGTACAAGTTGTATTTGGGGTTTTGTTGCTTACTTACTGAGGTGGGTTCAAATTTGTACAGTTGTCTCCTACCTCATAATAAATAATCTCTGTAGGATCGAATATTTTAAGATTAGTTAGTGGATTTGATTATCTAATTGTATATTTTATTCTTTATATTTTTCAGTTTTTCGACATTGTTTTTTACCAAAATAGGATCGTTTTTACTTATTTGTATTGATTTACGAAAATACGTATAAAATGATTACAGAACCTTATTTAAAATAAATACATTTAATAATTTCTAAAATTTGAAAAATTTAATTGTATACCTAGGTAAGATATGTAAAATTTAAGACAAGATATAAATAATTCATTTTATTTTTAAATATTATCTAGCGTACCTACCTAGCTTGCGCTCTGCGTCTTTTTTATGTGTAACAATATGCGATTGATTAACACTAACACATACTTTATTTGCCACATTCATAATATATATTTTCTTTATTTTCACCAAAGCGAATTTTAATGTTTATGTCCTGAAACTTATTAAAATCGACTCAACAGCGTTTCGATTTAATATTGATCCAAAAATAAATCCATGATTTAACTATGCTGTGCTGTAAACAATGTTTAATTATGCACTACACACACATAAGCACTCGCTTCTCATGCATGAGATTGCAGGATCGATACCTGGCAAGTACCAATGCGACTTAAGTCTGACACCAGTGGCAAACGGTGAAAGAAAACATCGTGAGAAAACTTGAACTTATAATTTCTAATTATCAAACCTTCTCCGTGTGACACTTATAGGCCTCAGCCGTGGGCACTTATAGGCTGATGATGATGATGATGTTATAATCATATAAAATATGTACGTATTAGTTACCAGGTCTCTGATTGGTCCGGACTTGGTGAAGGTCAATATAAGTTGCATGCAATCCATGCACACTTGTTGATCGCCTAAATAAAATGGACACTCAGTTCCGCAAAACGGGGACTTATTTGATTATGATTTTATTATCAGCCTCTTTATATCCTACTGTTGGGCAAAAGATTACACTCACATAGAGAGTCAAGAGCTCACTACGCTTCGCTCAAAGAGGACTGGCGATTTCAAACTTCCTTATCTAAAGGTAATATAACCAATTAAGAACTAACCAATCTAGATGTCCCATCGATTTTTTCCTTCATCGTTGGTCTTCCTAATAATTATATTACTATAGATATCGCTCATTGGTTCTGTGGCTTTGTTTAAATACATCTACTTGTACGCTAGAAATATCAATTAGTTTAGGTATGAAATGTGTTAATGATATTTTACCCGTTAATATGTCGAGACAGGTAAGGCTTGCCAAATAAATGCTGTTGTTGGTCCAAATATTATTTTGCGAATGTATTGTCATATTATGCTTGAGTACTTAAATATGTAGGTAAAGCTGGCGATCCTTACTGACAAACGAAACATTGGCGACTATGCACTTCCACGTACGTAATCGATATGAATTAGTTAAAAAAAATATTGTCCTGTTTATCCCTTTATTGTTCAACTACCTACTCTCGCGCGGTTTCACTCGCTGCTCGGCTCCATTTGATTGTAGCGTGATGTTTTATAGCCTATAACACTCGTGAACATTGTAGCTATCAATAAGTAAAATAATTTTGGAAATCCAACCAGCGGTTCCAAAGATACCCCCTACATACTAACTTAAATAAAAATCCTCTTTACAATATTAGTATAGATAGTCTATACCTATATTTTCACTTATATTTTTAACACATTATATTACATAACATATGTTACATTATACATATAATATATGTTACACTACGAAATATAATTTAAAACAGTCAAGTTTCGGAGGTTTTCCTAAACCTTGAAACATTTATTACCTAAAAAAAAATTCGTAAAGTAAATTCGCCCCAAGCATTCAGTAAACTACAAAAACGTCTCTCATTGTGAATTGAACACCACAGGACAGCAGTAAAATTAAACGCCAGTTAAACCATAATTTTAATGTAGGTAATGTAAAATTAACTGTTTCCGCTTACACGTGGCGGGCAAAAGTTAGCATTTTTTATTTGCAAAGAGCCGTAATTACTAGTACATAATAATAAAGAGTTGGGTTCCATAACCAAATAGGGCAAAAATTGAAGCCTCATTACTAAGACTTCAAGTCTGTCTTTCTGTCTCATATGGCTCACATACATATATGAAGGTTCCGTGATACTTAGCTTAACATCTTAGATTTGGATATTGATATCGGTCCATTCTGTATTTGTATTAATATTGCCGCGATAACAACTGATAATTGAGAGCAAAATGAAAGCAGTACTTAGTTAGGAACGGGAGGGGGACGACGACAGACAGAGAACAAACGTGCTTTTTTAAAGTTGGCTCCGTCTGCCATGAGTGCCATGACTGTGTTAACTAAAGACAGTTAAAATTTGTTAGGGATAAGTTTTTCTATCCGCGTTATACTGCATAGTAAGTATTCTTACTTTCTTTCTATACATACAAGGAGATATGACGGAATGTCAGATTACTGACTAAAAATCAACCCGTTTCTTTGCCCTGCTCCAGGCCAGGCAATAAGGATGCAGAACCCTTCGTGTGCATTCACACTTGGCCTGTTTATAATCAATTACAATTACCTATTAGGTAAACTAGATATACACAGCTGTTCACTGCTTGATTCTGTAAATAAATATTTTTTTAAATGCTATTTGTATTGTCACTTGTTTTCTATAAGTACATAACATTACACCTGCTCGTTCTGTGGTACTCGTTGCATCATTTATTAACATTAGTCTTGTGGCGTCCCACTTAGTACATATAGACCTATACATATATTTAATCTGTAGTACAACACTTTAAACAATAGAAATATGGCCTTAAAACTTTTTGACACTACATATAAAATTATATAGTTTTAATAAATTAGTTATTGCTATATTGTATTGATATTAAAATATCAATACTGAATTAATAAACAAAGTAGTGTCTATATTCAAAAGGAATGCATAATTATAACTATTTTCCGAGATAGATTTCATAAAATATATTTGTTCACTGTAGTTGTTAACAAATATAAGTGATATTTTCTTTCTTTTTTCTGTTTAATTTTAATATTAGAAAACGCAATAAATAAATTAAAATTGCATATAAAAATACCTGATAGGACCAGGCAACACAGTGTGTTTTTTATAAAAAAAATACGGTTGAAACACCTGAAAAAAAGTATAATTACGTTAAACTAGTTAGCTATGTAACAAAATGTAGTATTTATTTGGTACCGTTACCCAAGGCCCACCGCGTCGCGATATTGAAATAAGATGTCGAAAATAGCACCGCCACGTGGGGGCGGCCGACGACGCGACCTGCGCTTGCGCATATCTCCAACACAAACATAAACATCACAATTATTGTTTTTTATGGCAACGGGAATGGTCGTAATGTTTTATTTTATCTCTTTTGTTGTATTATTTTCGTGATTTTTAACATAAAAGTCGTTATTTGTTAGATAGGGTTTAATTCATTTTTAAAAATGGTTTTAAGTAATGGTTCTATATACTGCACTTAAATTTAGTAGTTCCTACTTGTTGAATAAAAGTCATGAGATTCTTTTGATGTTTTTGTGGTAAAAATGAGTAAGTACAGAAAAAGCCAAAAGGGTACTTGGTAGGTTTCGTACCTTTATGCATGAAAAGCTGGGGCCTTAACCTACGGGGTATGGACCTAACCAAGTACACAATAAAAACTATTTATCCAGAAAATTAGCCTAAATTTGTGTTACTTTTGTTGTTTTATCCTTAGTAAATTAATTAGAAATTCAAATCCTACCTCCTCAGTTCGCGACGTCTCGTCTGTTAGTAATTATTGAAAGTGGAACGCCGGCCAAAGCCCGGAGACTATATTTCAGTCAGAGCTGTTCTCTTAATTTACGGACTAATACCATACCTACAGACGTACCTGGATTTGTGCCTAAAATAGCAGTCTCCAAACTAGACCAATAATAATTCTTCAAAGAGAGACCGATATAACAATACTAGCTTTTGCTTACGGCTTTTCTTGTGTTACTCATATGAAAATAGCCTAAATGTTATGCCGAAATGTAGGCTACCTCTGTGCCGATTTTCATTGAAATAAATTCAGTAGTTTACCCATGAAAGAATAAGAAACATCGATTATACAGTTTAAAAACTTACCCGCTTATAATATGAGTAGGAAATAAAACTACAATGTTTTACATTATAAATCATTTACAATGTTATTTTGTTAGTTTGTGTGTTGTTTATACTAAGGGAATCCGTCTAAACTAGGCTGCGAAGCTATATTTGTGTATCCGCCATTTTTACATTGCATTGGTAGTTTTTAAATGATTAAGGGCTGATTTTTCAGTGATAAGATAAAAGTTACCTGGGGAATAATATTATGATGATGTCGCGTTAGAATATTTGTATAAGACAGTGACAGCAACAATTTTATTTCTCAGGTAACATTTATCTGATTATTGAAAAATCAGCCCTAATTACATTAGATATCAGATAATTATTGTAACTGTAACTGCAAAAAGTACTCTATAATACGAATTTGTAATGCTGGCGAATCTATGTAACTTGAAAAATAGGTTATGATAAATCCTCCTGCCCAGCCCTAGAAAAAACGGCTTCACTTCCATGTAGACTGGAGAGGAAGCCCGTAGTCCTGCAATTATATGCCACAAAGTGAAAGTTGATCCTGATGAAGCTAATTGGTAACCAATACGTACTAAACACCTGTATACCTTTCAGATGCAAGAAGATGGGTACGTCGTCTTAGAAGAATTCCTGACTCCATCAGAATGTGATGAAATGGTGGCAGCTGGGACAGAATTCACAAAGAACTTACCTCCTAAAGAACAAAGGATAATATTCTCTACTGTCAACTCTGAAAAGCAGGTAAATCAGTAATCACAGACTGCGTATTAAGTTCTGTGTTCTGTACTCTTGGACATTACGAAGTCTATAGGCAATCATAAATTGTATCACAATTTCTCTATCGTATTGAAGAGATCTGTGTTCTGACTCCGATTCTTTGATCGGAGTCAGAGATCACTCACATAGCTCTTAGAATTTGTAAATTAAAGTGGCAATTGAAAGGCCACATTCAGCTAGAAGGACTGACGGCCGATGGTCAGAAAAGTGGTCTAGTGGCGACCACGGACCGGAAGATGTAGGTGCAGGCCTCTTGCTAGAGGCGGAGGACTGACGACTTCGTCAGAGTCGCAGTGAGCCAATGAACGCGAGTGACGACTTGTCGTTTAGGGTAGACGACTAAGGGGGAGGCCTTTGTCCAGAAGTGGACGTTTTCCGGCTGATGATGATGATGACGATGATGATTGACAATTGATGGACATATTCATTGCGATACCTGGTTTCACTAACATTTACCAACTTACGTTTCAGCAACTACAAGACGAATATTTCCTGAATAGCAATGATAACATTAGTTATTTCTTCGAAGAATCTGCTGTGGGGCCCGATGGAGAGCTGACTGTAGACCCCAGTATATCATTAAACAAAGTAAGTTAGAATGGAGTCCTCTTCATAAATTCTACTAAATCTAGTATTTTATGTGATGTTAGTTGGATAGGCACTGATAGACTATATACTCTTCCGAAGTTTTTTGTTTTATGTGATAGTTCGGTAAACGAACAGACGAATTACCTGATAGTAAGCAATCGGCGCCTCCCATGGACATCCGCAACACAGCAACGAACGAACACGCTACATCGAGTGCGTGGCCAGCTCACGGGGGCAAAGGTTTCGGAGATTAGGTTAGGGATTGGAGGGGGAGAAGACTAATTTTTTTTTTTTTTTTTTTTGTGAGGGGAAAATCATCAAATGACTTCTCCCGCCCAGGGCCGGGCAGGAGGGAGTGTCAGACTCTTACTGACTAAAAACCCCCCTGTTCCTTCTCCTGCTCTGTGCCGAGGTCGCGGTACCTTATTGCGCTTACCCCGCAGCCCCGGCTGAACATCAGCCCTTTAGGGCCCCGTCTGTGGTGGTCTATTGGCTCTTTGAGGCGCGCGCGGAACGCTACGCGCCGTACGCTCGGGCCTGGTTCTGGTCGGGCGGCGAGCTGCCCTTACTCGCCGACCGCAGGCCCGTACTTACGGTGGCCGGAGATCGTCCCTCGATCCCCGACGCCCGTAGTGTCGCCAGTTGCGGCTGCTGGGGCGTGAGGAGGAGGATTGCTCCCTCACGCGGGCCGCCTCTCTCTTTGCGAGCATGACCGCTTCACAAAAGGAGGAGACGGCGTCCCAGTTCCTCTCACTCCGCACCATGGCCTCGACTAAGGCCGGGCGCGAGAGGTCGCCGCCGCCGATCACTTTCCTGAGGATACGGCGGTGCTCAGCCCAGGCAGGGCATACCGCTACCGTATGCTCCACCGTATCCTCTAGGTGGTCCTCACAATGACGACACTCGGGCGTTTCCTCCCGCTGAATCCGAAACAGGAACCTACCGAAGCTGCCGTGCCCGGTAAGCACCTGGGAGAAGACTAATTGGGCCTCCGATAATCTCACTCACACGTTACATTTTTTGCGCCATATTTCTGTGAGGCTATGGTAAGTATAACTTCGGTTAAACGCGACCATTTCTTGATGAAGCATAGCTCTCCTAAAATGATACAGTAGAATCAATTCGAGAGAGAAGACCTGTAGTTTAATCTTAAATACATCTTAAATTACTTATCAATATTAACGACGACTATCTACTACTTATTTGGATTCTGGAAGATGTAATATAAATACTTTAAAACTTTTGTTAAAATTATGGTTTTTGTTCTGATTCCAGGTCGGTCACGCATTGCATTACCAGCACCCGATCTTCAGATGCTACACTTACTGTGATCGCGTGAAGGAAGTTGCCAAAGCTCTGGGCTTCAAGGAACCGGCGGTGGTGCAGTCCATGTATATCTACAAGAACCCTGGTATTGGGGGTGAAGGTAGGATCTTATGGCCTTGTGATATGTATGTCACTTTGCTCTGGTAGTAAATACGGACTGAGATAGTCGTCAGCTCTGGATGGAAAGGGTTAGCCAAAATTTGCATGATTTAAAGGCGGTCTGAAGGTTCGGGCGGATTTGTCAAAGTAGACAGTTTAGAGATCAGTCTTAAACGTTCCAGTTATAAGTCCAATGGATCTTACAATACCAGCTGGATATTTAAGGGTCATGATAAAAGTACTTTTAATAGGCTTTTAATTATTTTTCTTTCAGTAACTGCACACCAAGACATCACGTACCTGCACACCTCTCCGGTACCACCAATCGGTTTCTGGATAGCCCTGGAAGACGCCACGGTACAAAATGGCTGTCTCTGGATGGTTCCAGGGTCCCACAAGTCCGGGGTGCATAGAAGACTTACAAGAAACCCAGATAAAGACAGTAAAGATAAATTGATATACGACAATCCAGCTCCATTCTACCCTCAGTCTAGTTTTACTTCAGTTCCAGTTAGCAAAGGTAAGCCTTAATATCTTCAGACTTACTTGTATGTTTTAGTAAGGCAGTGCTAATAGAGAGGCTGTAATTAGCAATGGTCAGAAACTAACATACTAGCCACTAATGATACTACACAAAGTACCATTAGTAACGAAGATCTTAAAATATCTAAGGCATACATACATGTATCTTAAAATTGATCCCAATGGATACAACTAACACGGTGAAGGACGACCTGCTCGAGCAGAAGGCACCCGGTCACGAGCAAGGCACGTAGGTCAGCAAACGATCTGGTAAACCATCTAGAACATTTAAGAATGCAGGGCCACGCGGCATTAAGCCCATACCAGTAGCTGTGTAAGTCAGCATTATTTTTTTAACATTTCGGATAATCCTCTAGTCCTATGGAGAAAAAGGAGCAAGAAACTCCATGATTTCCAATAGGAATCAGTTTCACAATTTAATTCTTTGTTGTCCATAAGAAATTAACCAGGTTTGGCAGATGCCATAGAAAAGTTATATCTGTTAAGGCTTCGGTGAACTCTGAATCGTTGACTATGTTTTAGAGGAGTGTTATAGAACTTAAAAAACACGTTCCAGGTACCTGTATAGTCATCCACGGTAACGTGGTACACAGGAGCGCACACAACCACTCCGGCAGCGGACGGCCGGCGTACACGTTCCACATCATAGAGAAGCAAGACAACCAGTACTCCGCGGACAACTGGCTGCAGGAGGGGGCGCGGGCGCCCTTCACCAACCTCTACACCACCTCGCAGCTCATGTAGACTATTGTACACGAATCCGGGTCGCGACCTCAATCTAAGGCTATGTCCCAAAATAACGTTTAATGAAAATTTACATTATTTTTTGACAGATTTTAGTTATTATGTAATTTTAAATGATTTAATTAGGATTTTAATATTAATTACGCAACCGTTTGTTGCGACACAGAACTTTACTATTTTTTTTTATCGACATTTTTAAAATCAATGTTTAAGTATGCTGAATTTTGTGCATGTTTTTACAGTGTTAAGAAAACAACATTCACAAAATAAGGTTTTAATGGAGTTACCAATTTAATTATGCCTATGTTAATATTATAACAAGTCAAATATACCTATATATGTATAGATACAAAAGAAAATAAGTAATACCTACTATCGGATGAAAACGCTATGTATTAGAAGCCCAGATCAATGCATATACAATTATTATGTAACGCAAATCTAAATTTTATGTAATATTTTTATTTTGTTATATGTATACGTACATATTTCTTGTGCGTACTATATATTTTTTGACAAAATATAAGTATTTTTACACATTATATGTTTTATTTATGTTAAAATGTTACTTATTGATCTAAGTATTTAAGTCGTAATAACAACGGTTTGGCGCCGGCGCTAATTGATTTTTTCCATGCTGTTTGACGTGACCATACCGTGACTTATATTTGCAGCGTGACTGTGAGCGATACCGGATATATTATTAAATTAGTACTGACTTCTTTTTGTTTTTTCTGCTTATGACATTTTAAATTGCATTTCATAAAAGCGTGCCATTTTTCACTTACTTAGAATTATTCAACAATAGAATAGAAATATTATGCCGCGTTAAAAAAGGCAAGGCACAAACACAAAGTTCCTACGATTTAACAGTGCTTGGTTTAAAAAATATGAAATCATACCTTCCTTGTAATGTTATCGTTTAGCTTAATGATTTTAACCCATTCTGAACGGAATTAATAAGGTATTTTATCGACATCTATCACTATTTACAGGTAAACAAATCCTATTTCGTGACCTTTGAAGTGCCTACATAGAAATCTTGATATTATAAAATAACGCCATCTATGATTTTAGCTTTACAACTTAAAAGCGCGCCATCTGTAGGTTACAGTAAAAATAATTAATGTGGATGACAGTCTAAGCGATGTATTTATTCAAACGAAAACGTATAGATTTCGCATACATGCACTTTTTTCATGAGTTACGTATTTTTTTTATTTATGTAATATGTCGGCAAACGAGCCGACGGATTACCTGATGGTAAGCAATCAGCGCCGCCCATAGACACCCGCAACGGAGGAGTTACGAGTGCGTTGCTGACCTTTTAGGGATTAGGGATTTGGAGATTTAGGGATTCATTTACACGGCGAAACACAACGCTGTGGTTGTTTCACGCCGGTCTTCTGTGAGGCCGTGGTATCACTCCGGTCGAGCCGCCCCATTCGTGCCGAAGCATGGCTATCCCACACTTAAAATTATTCTTCGTTAAAACCACGAATAACTACCTCGCTGATCGTGTGGTCATTCAAAGTCAAATTCGAATCATTTATTTCATTTAGACCATTTCCAATGATGGGTAATGTAATCACTGGTACCTTGTTGTAAACTGTTGTGCTATTACCGTAAGCAATGCCAGCCCTGGGTGAGGGTAAAACGCAGTTATATACCGCGGCTTCAGCCTTAAGCATTTGACGAGATACTCGACTAGTTTCAAGTCATGCTAGAGGCCCATATTCATGAGCAGCATTCCGCGACACGCCACATTATTACGTGAATAAGCCGAAAACATAATAATTAGTATCATATCAGAAGTTGTTGACAAATTGAGTTTCTGAAGTGTGGTTGTACTTGTCCTTCACGGAAGGTGCAATTCTTAAAAGGCCTGCAACACTGGTGTCCATGTGCGGTGCAAATCACTTACCATCAGGTGATCCGTCCGCTCGTTTCCCTCTTATTCCATAAAAAATATATTTCATAAGAAGGACACGTATTGACGTTTGGTTATTTGAAATAGGTACTAGTTTATAGCGATGTAAGAATCTTGTTAAACATCGATTGATTTATTAAAACGATGATATGATGATTAAACGATGAATAATTTCAATCGGGAGGACGTCTTTGAATTGTCATCGACGTGGAATTACAACCTCGCTTTCCTTCAAAGTCGGTTAACACATCTGTGGATACTGTCAGCGTAGTGTGTGGACGGCCTAATATGGTAGAAAGTGAAAATATGGGGGTAGATGAAGATTCATCGCCTGAAGGCGGGGGCCCGAATGTGATATCGCATCTTCAGTCTGCTTGTGACCACAACCTGTGCAACCAGGTCAAAACAACAAGCCTACCAAGGTATTTAGATAATTATTCTCGCGTTAATACCCACGTAATTTATGTTGTAAATACTTTGTATAACACAAAAATAAATAATTATTCCTAACAGATGACTCCTCTTTGTGTGGTGAGAGGGATCATGTCCTTCCCGATTCCATATGAGAAGGGTAACATTCCTATAATGAAATGTAAGTAGTATCAGTCGTTTCATTTGATCACGCCCTGGCAACGAACAAGAATTTGTTGACTATCGATTTTAGTCGCCATCCAGAAACTGGGTTGAGACATTGTTTTATTTGCTTTGTTTAAATTTCAATAAACTATTTACAATATGCGTGATTTGCCAGACTTCGTGGCAAGGTAAATAATGAGACTGTAGATGGTTAAGGTCTGTTTATTACTTTAATTGCTGGTGCTTATATACTAAGAAGATGCGTGAGATTTTCAGATTTAGCTATCCTAACAAACGTGCAACAATTAACATGTATGTCTTATCTCTATCGTATCTAAGTAATGTAGCGACGTGATAGTGCCGCTACATATACTCCCCCCTTTTAAAAATAATTAACATATAAATTGAAAAAAATTAGTATGTACCTAATTATATAATAACTTAAAATTACATCCTATGCGTAATGTAATGTCATTGTTGCTAATTCGAAGGAAATAAAAACTGCTGCCTTTGTTGTGACGGCGGCGGCAGTCGATGAACTATCCACTGCATTTGTGCTGATTGTTTGCTGCGTCGATTTGATCAGGGTTGCGGGCGTTGTCAGCTCAGTTACCCTATCTATGAGTTTTCGACCAGCTATATCGACTAATAGCTTATAATGCTCTAAAAAATCTGCTCCAATAATCGGTTGTGTTACATCGGCGATGACAAAGTTCCATACAAAGTTTCTTCGTAGCCCGAAGTTTAAAGAGAGTGTTTTTTCACCATATGTCTTAATTTTTGTACCATTGGCGGCATAAAGTATACATTGTTCATCTTGTATTAGTGAATGTCTCTGTGGCTTGCTAATAACTGAAATATTTGCTCCCGTGTCAATCAAAAATCTCATACCACTTTTTCGGTCGGTAATAGTGAGGCGGTTGGACGGGTGAATAGCACAGAGTTCCGCCGTTGTTCGTGCTTCAATTAGTTTCCCTGTTTCCTTGAGTCGAGATCCTGTTTCCAATCACAAGGTTGAACACACTTTTGTGCATATTTTTTAAATCTTCCATGGTAAAAACAAAAGTGCCTTCTTTCTCTTGAACTTGACTGTGGTAGGAAATGCCGACGATTGGAATAACTTTGAGTGCTGCGTCGATAGTTTTTTTGACCTTGCTGAATTGCATTTAGTTCCAATTGCATTTCTGCTAACTGTGCTAGTATGCATGACATTGTATCGTCGCCAGATTTGTTTCCGTTTACAGCTGACACCTCTGTACGTGTTGAATTTATTAATATCTTGTCCGCGATCTGGCTCATCTTGTTCACATCTATGTCTTCTGTGACTGCTAGAACCGAAGTCACTGATGGTGGCAGAAGCCTCAACCATAGAAGTTTGATGGTTTCGTCGCTGATATTTCCGTTACTCAGGGTCCGCATCTTGTGCAGAAGATGTGATGGTTTCTGGTCGCCGAGATCCATTTCAGACAATAATTTTTGGAGCTGACGTTGGTCTGATTCCTCATAGCAACTGATTAGGCGTTCTTTGATAGCCTTGTACTTTTCTATTGGCGGTGGGCAAGTAATGAGGTCACTAACCTGTATTATTTCTTCTTTTGGCAGTTTTGCAATGACCGTATAGTACTTGTAATCGTCTCCTTGCTTCTGTGGTGCTACTATGGCTTCTAGTTGCTTAAACTGTCCAAACTGTCCAAAATTCCGGAATACGGGATAAAATGGCGGTTCCGGCTGATATCTCCAAGGCTTCTTGTTGGCTGCTGCTTGATTTGCAGGGTGAATGAGTCATGTTGATTGTTCTTCGTCGGGTCACCAATTTGCCAGACTTCGTGGCAAGGTAAATAATGAGACTGTAGATGGTTAAGGTCTGTTTATTACTTTAATTGCTGGTGCTTATATACTAAGAAGATGCGTGAGATTTTCAGATTTAGCTATCCTAACAAACGTGCAACAATTAACATGTATGTCTTATCTCTATCGTATCTAAGTAATGTAGCGACGTGATAGTGCCGCTACACGTGATCTTACATAAACTGAGATCTCGCAGGATGGAATATCGTAGTCAAGCTGATACCGCAACATGCCTTTTTTAAGCCCCGACGCAAAAAGAGGGGTGTTATAAGTTTGACGTGTCTGTCTGTGGCATCCTGGAGCCTGAACGGGTGAAGCGATTACAATTTAGTTTTTTTTTTTGTATTAGAGATAACTTACGTGCGAGTGTTCTTAGACATGTTTGACGAAAATCGGTTGAGCCGTTTAGAAGTTATGGGGGGCGGGGCGTAAGTGGGGAAGGGTAACCGAAGGTCTGCAAATGTACTAGAGTGGGGTGTCAAATGAAAGCGCACTGAAAGGCAATGTTGATGACTTAATCGAGAGAAAATGATATAAAATACTTATAAAAAGTATAAAATAAAAAAAATAATTAGACCCCCGAAATATGTAAATAGAAATATGTAGTTGATAATGAAATGGTTGGATCGGCCCCACAACGCCGCGTTTTCTTTTAATTATTACTTTTAAAAGGAATATCAGAAGTTTTGTCAGGGGTTTTTTAAATTTATTTATTTTTTAGGAACAAGCCCATTACAGCCTATTGATACCGCTGCAACTTCTGTAAGCCAGGATCTATGGTAGATACAACCATGAAAACACCTTAACACTGAAGACTGTCTTGGATCACGCAACGAAATAAATCAGAAGATATTATTTGAGGAGAAGAAAAACGAAATAGTTTTCTCTACTAGGTACAACATGCCTTTGCTAAAGGGATGTGTTAATCTTCTCCTTTGCTAAAGGGGGTTGATACATAACGCTCTTTAAAATGGCAATCGTTATCATTGCCATGTCCAAGAAATAATGGTGGTACCATTATGTAAGAAATAAGTACTAAGTTTTATGTTAGTTGCTCCCCGGCGTAAGTGTGCCAAAGTTGGAAGCCAAAGTTTAAGGCGGCACTCCTGCAGAGACGCACGGATGAAAGTAACAATAAATTGGATAGTTTCGTCTGTAAAATAAATTATTTAACTTATAAAACCAAATTATTACCTAAAAATCAATTACATTTTCATTCATTCGGCCTTATTACAAAACAAAGTTTTACTTTAGTCTAGGACTAAACCATTAAGCCAGTTTTCGTATTTAGAATTGAAGGTAGATGACAATAAGATTCAAAATTCAAAACGCGACTCAATGGTTTAAATCTGGACTAAAGATAAACCTTGTTTTGTAATAAGGGGGATTGAGTTTAAGATATACTTAAAAATCATTAGAAATCAGTTTAATATTATTTCCCGAAAAAATAATAAGAGACACAACAGCATTGAGAAAATCATATTTAATTAAAATTTAAGTAAGTTATCGTTTTGGCATTACGAAAAAAGTATTAAATTTGACTTGTTGGAAACTGCAAACCAATTATTAAAACAATACAATTAGATAAGTATTCCATCGGCACTAGGCACGAGTTACATGAATAATTGGTTGAATGGCTTGTGTCGGGGACTAAAGACTGACAACATTTTGGAATGTGTTTAAAACGGGGCCTATTTGCTATCTTCGTAGGAATCCATAAGTAGGTACTGAACAATACTGTTGTTAGGGCCATTAGATACTTTTTTCTTTGTTTTAAGATTTAACACTACCTACATAACGTGTTCACAACTGGTGAACTATCACATATCAAGAGATACTATCTGGCGAAAAAAAGAGAGAGAGGAATTTTAGAGCAGCCTTTGGGTCCCAAGCGTATGGCGTAGCGTTCCGCACGCGCCTCAAAGAGTCAATAGACCAGCTCAGACGGGGCCCCACAGGGCTGTTGATTAGCCGCGGTGCGGGGTAAGCCCAATAAGATACTGCGGCCTCGACCTTTGCAGGAGAAGGAACGGAGTCTTTTTAGTCAGTAAGAGTCTGACACTCCCTCTCGCCATGCTATAGGCAAGAGAAGTAATCCTCCAAATCCTCCTTCAAAAATATCATTTGGTTACGAAACTATAAAAGTCGACATATAACGTCGGAAGTGGTCAGTAGTTATTTCATTGTCAGAGGTTGCGGTGAACCTAGCGCTCATTTGTTTGATAGCTCTCTACAATTATATTTCGTTAGTTCGATCTGAGCATCGGCAGGTAAGAAACAAATAGCATGCTCGTATCAATCGAAGACAAATGAATTAGAAAATTGAATGTTTAATATCATTAAATTAGATAGAGCATAAGTTTAATTTCTGTTTTTAAGGCTACTGTTAATCACAAAAAATGTAATGGGCACATACAGATTAGGTATTCTACTTATTCTAATAGGTACTACAACTACATCTTTCGTACGTAATTGAGCATTTATTTATTTGTAGTGAAGTCAAACCCAGCCCGTAAGTTATTTTTTATTACATTTTATTTACTTAATGTAATTTGTATCTTACCGGTAACGGGAAAGGTCGCAAGAGAGAGGGGGAAAGGCGATTTTTGTGACAACGATTGCCATGGTCCAAGAGCGCTCTGTACAAACCCTACACCCCTTTATCAGAATGTTAACTTCCCCGGGTGCCAGTCACAAATCAGAAAGCCCGGTTGTGCGTCAGCCAAGTATCTCTACACGTAGCATTTCGTCCCACTTTTGACCCTCCCATAACTCAAAAGCTGACTGAATTCCTGACAAACCGTCAAAGATTCAAATGTTATTAAGATAAAAATACTTTTGAACAGCCAAGTCAGATCTTAGGTTTCAATGCAATGAAATTATTGATAAATAGAAATAAAACTCCAAGTTGTAATAAAAGGTTATAGGTTCTGGTGATCTAGAGGTTGAGGAACTCGCTTTTCATGCTTCAGTGTTGGGGTGCAAAACCTGGCAAGTACCAATAAGACTATTTCCGAGTTATACGTACTGTCTAAGATTATTAAGACACCAGAAAAAAATGACACAGGAAGAGATGGTGAGAAGACCTAAACTTATAAATCATAATTCTTAGTTAACAATATGCCTTGAGCAAGCGTGGTAATAAATGCCTCCTTTATGTGAAAAGAAACCTTTGCTTAGCATTGACACATATGTATGTATATGCTGATGATTATGATTAATTAATTAAAATAACACACAATAATCACAAAAAATAAAATTATATTAAAGGGATATACTGCAATTCGCAATAAGCTTTAGTCATATCTTTAGCCCCAGCTTCGTGTACAATAGTCTACATGAGCTGCGAGGTGGTGTAGAGGTTGGTGAAGGGTGCCCGCGCCCCCTCCTGCAGCCAGTTGTCCGCGGAGTACTGGTTGTCTTGCTTCTCTATGATGTGGAACGTGTACGCCGGCCGTCCGCAGCCGGAGTGGTTGTGTGCGCTCCTGTGTACCACGTTACCGTGGAGAAGTATACAAGTACCTGGAATAATATTAAATTATTTATTACGGAACCAGTCGAACTCTGTACCGCCTCAAATGTAACCAATGTTCTGATCTTTGAAACTTTCCCTTTTTTATGTAATAAGTAGATCGGCAAACGAGCAGACGGATTACCTGATGGTAAGTAATCAGCGCCGCTCATAGACACCCGCAACGGAGGAGTTACGAGTTCGTTGCCGACCTTTTAGGGATTTGGAGATTTAGGGATTGAGGAGGGATTGGGGGTGGGGAAGGATTGGGCCTCCGGTAACCTCAGTCACACGCCGGTTTTCTGTGGGGCCGTGGTATCACTCCGGTCGAGCCAACCGAAGCATGGCTCTCCCACACTTCCCTGGACTTCAACGAACATTTTAATATAGAAATTGTCTAAAACTGGTTAGCCGTTCTCGAGTTTTAGCGAGACTAACAAATAGCAATTCCATTTTTAAATATAAGAAAAATGATAAAATATTTTGTCTCTTTTATGTAGAGGTCATTCATAGTTTTGTAGTCTGTCATCGCTATTGATTTCATATGCTATCTGTAGAATATTTTTGTAAGTTTGATCCAAGTAAGCATTCACTTTCTGTTCACTAAGACACACCTTCAAAGTAGGACATTTAAATTTAGCTACTGTACCTACCCATATGCAAAATTGTTACGTATAAACCTTATAGTAGGGCTGAAATTTAATTAACAATTCATTACTGTACCACAGATTTCAATTTTGCTGTTGTTTTGATAGTCTTACGTGGTATTAAAGCTTGGTAAATGGTTCATAAGGCATTGTGTGACAAAACCAACGAATATCTCATGTTCCTAGCATTTTGTGGGATTTATTCAAAATTGGGGGTTCAGTGGGAAATTAGGTTTGTTTACTTTACGGAATTAGATGATAGACCACGTTACATATTCTAAATTTGAAACTAGATTTTATGAAATAGGAGGTAAACCAGAAGGCGTGCCACCTGAAGATAAATGATCAGCGCCGCCCATAGACACCACAAAGAAAAGAGAAGAGGTTACCGACGCGTTACCTACCTTTTAAGTTGTATTACCCTTCTTGAAGGTTCGAAGGTCACAATCACACGGCGAAACACTGTTTTGGGTACCTACCATATTTTCATTAAATTTTTCTACGAGTACGTGTGCAGACAAAGTTTTCGAAGTCGTGAAAATAGAGTAAGATTACATTTTAACACCTCGCCACCTCTACCAATGGGTGTAGTGAGATGGGGTTTAAGGTGAATAGAAAACGCAACTTTTGCTATTTTTTTTAAATGTAATTGGTTGGCAATCGAGCAGACGGATTACCTAATGGTAAGCAATCAGCGCCGCCCATGGACACCCGCAACGGAGGAGTTACGAGTGCGTTGCCGACCTTTTAGGGATTAGGGTTTTGGAAATTAAGGGATTGGGGAGTAAACGGGCGAGGGGAAGATGGGGCCTCCGGTAACTTTACTCGGTCGGTATCGGTATCGGTTTTCTGTCAGGCCGTGGTATCACTCCGGTCAAGCCGACCAGCCGTCCCCGTCGATATATGCACTTAAAAGATAAAAAAATCCAAATAACTTACTATTTAGGAAGCAAAGAAATCAATTTGTAAACGCTGTAATTAGTCGGAAAGGTCGACTAGTAGGTAATAGCGTAACGGGCGGAGGCTAAGAGGAAGATGTCACAAAGAAAATTGAGGGTAAGTGGCTTCGAAACTAAAAAGCTTTCAGAGAATGTCTTAGGGATGGTAATGAGGCACTTTCTGCTTGAAAATCAAATACCTAGAAAATTATAATAATTTCATTTATTCAATTCTTCGTGGAAGTGCTTTCTTATTTCATTAGATAGGTAGCTAGCTAGGATAGTGATAGATGTGAGTGGTCTGGACAATTTAACTATAAAGACTTTGCCGGGGATGCGGGGTAAGCGCAATGAGGTACCGCGACCTCGGCACAGAGCAGGAGAAGGAACAGGGGGTTTTTAGTCAGTAAGAGTCTGACACTCCCTCCTGCCCGGCCCTGGGCGGGAGAAGTCATTTGATGACTTACCCCTCACAAAAAAAAAAAAATATAAAGACTTTTATTTGAAATTAGGAGGAAAAGGTACCTTCCCTGTCTTTCAGACCGGGAAAGTACCATATTTTCACATTATACCCACGTTAAGTGATGGTGGTTTTACATGGGTTTGTCATATTTCTTCTAGAAAGTGAAGGTTTGAGAAGAAATAAATTTATAAATAGTATAGATTTATCTATTTTATATACAATATTTACAGTTATATATATATTTATTTATATAAGTCTAAGTAATACTAAAACTAAAAGAACGGCAATAAAATTTATGATTGACCTGTCTCTGATGTCCGGTCAGTCACGAACCAATATAAATAAAGAAGTCAACAAATGTCTTACCTTTACTGACTGGAACTGGGACAAAACTGGACTCAGGATAGTCAGGAGCTGGTCTGTCGTATACCAGTTTCTCTTTACTATCGGTATTTAGGTTTCTAGTAAGGCGTCTATGAACCCCGGACTTGTGAGACCCTGGGACCATCCAGAGACATCCATTCTCCACGGTAGCGTCTTCCAAGGCTATCCAGAAACCCATTGGCGACACAGGAGCCGTGTGCAGGTACGTGATGTCTTGGTGAGGAATTACTGCAAAAGAGAAAACTGTAATTAAAATATCCAAGACGAACTAATTTCGACGAATTTCGCGTTTGGTCATTTTATTTAAATTAAGGTTGAAAAGGCTTCGGTCTGGTATATCTAGGGTAAAAACAAAAGAAATGTGACCAAAAATAATATTCCATCGAATTCGTCACAAAACTTCCATCTGGCGAATGCGAAAGACTTTTTGAACTTTGTTTATTGAAGTCCGTAAAGTTTTATTGTTGAGATAGTACCCCTTACTATCTGAGGCCGGAAGAAAATGAATGTGGGAAATGTGTGCGTTGGCCGCCATTTGATGTTCATACGTAAATATATTATTATGGTCGCTGTGAGATTAATCCTTGGAAATTAAGGTAGAAAATGTTTAATAATTGGCTATACAGACGGCTTGAGGCAGGGGTTATAAAAGGAAAACAAAGAAATTAATTAAAGTCAAACGAGGGGTCTTGGGTTTTGGGAAAAATCACCATGTCCATGTATGATAATAGTTCTAATAGGCTATGGAACTTAATGGAACAAGTAAGGCAATTGTTATGCATTTATTTGCAAATTTTTCAATTATTTCGGGACATGCTTATGTTAAAAAATCCTACCTTCGCCCCCAATACCAGGGTTCTTGTAGATGTACATGGACTGTACCACCGCCGGTTCTTTAAAGCCAAGAGCTTTGGCAACATCCTTCACGCGATCACTGTATGTGTAGCGCCTGAAGATTGGGTGCTGATAGTGCAAGGCGTGTCCAACCTGGGATCAAAACAAACACTTTAAAACCCTTACTGGCAGAACTAATCATCCAAAACTTTAATATAAAGTTGGTCGAGATGGTAACTTTAGATAATTAGCGTGTTTCAAACCTTTAGGCCCTGTTCACACGCTCGGTTTCCGAATAACCAGTACCGGGGATATGTAGGTACATTGGAAATTGCCGGTATTTGTAGGCTTGTTTCACATACCCAGGAGAAGTTACTCGACAACGGAAGCGTGTGAAGAGAGGTTCTAATGTAGACATGCATAAGAACAGACAAGGGACTAGCAATGTTCAAATCTTCAAGGCCAGAGAATAGGTTGCTTATGGGTGGGCGTGTTCCATCGGTGGTCTCATCATCGCTTACTATAAGGCGTGACAGCGGCCAAATGTGTGATCATTATAAATAAACGTTCATATTATATAGACCCTGTAATTAAGCTTAGTACTCTTTACTCCAACTTACTTTGTTTAACGATATACTGGGATCTACAGTCAATTCGCCATCAGGCCCGACCGCAGCATCTTCGAAGAAACAGCGGATGCTGTCATTGCTATTCAGAAAGTACTCATCTTGTAATTGCTGGAACGAAATATAATTAGTTATCTAATGCAATTTTTTATTAACTTTGTTTGTTTTTCGTTTGGTTCGGTCCGGAACGAATCCTAAATGGGCGAGCTTCATTCACAAACCTATATAGCCCACAATTTTGGCAGCAATGTGATTCTGATGAAAACCTTAATCATTAAACTAATGGCCTGTCATTAGCTAGTCAATGGTTAGAACTAGACATTATTTAGCCAGTCACACAGGCGCTAGTTGACCGACGGGACATTTGACTGGACAAATAAGTACCTACTGAGGCTACATATGTGTGTGTCTAAGTACGTTGTTACTGTTAACCAAAACGGAAATATAAATACAATTTTGTATTATACAAAATTTTATTTCCTACGGCTGTACAACTATGTCGGTTACAACTACTCAGATTCTCTCACAGGAAACCTCTCTTGATAATAAATAACCAAAAAATATTGGTACATGTTTAGTTATACGCTTACCAACGTATTTGGCAAATATATTTAGGAAGTTTACCTTTTTTTCAGCGTCAACAGTAGTGAAGACAATCCTTTGTTCTTTAGGAGGCAAGTTCTTAGTGAAATCTACTCCAGCTTTAACCATATCGTCGCATTCTGATGGAGTCAGGAAGTCTTTTAAGACCACGAAGCCATCGTTGTCCATCTGAAAAAAAAACAATGTAAATAATAATTTGGTGATTAGTAACGTGATGACACTACTTAATATTTTCATAAGCATTTTTTTATTTAATTGGTCGGCGAACAAGCCGACGGATTACCTGCTAGCAAGAAATCAGCGCCGCCCATGAACACTCGCAACGGAGGAGTTACGAGTGCGTTGGCGACGTTTTAGGGATTTGTAGATTTAAGGATTGGGAAGGGATTGGGGGAGGGGAAGGATTGGGCCTACGGTAACCTCATTTACCCGGCGAAACACAACGCTGTGGTTGTGAACTATGTTTTTACTATACTATTTATTCTAGTTGGCCAATACAACACTTCTACTAGTTTGGAATATTGGGTACACAAATGAACCGCTATCGCGTCGAGTCTTCTGATTGTTTTTTTTTTGTGAGGGGAACATCAGCAATTGGCTTCTCCCGCCTAGGGTCGAGCGGGAGTGAATATCAGACTCTTACTGACTAAAAACCTCCCTGTTCCTTCTCCTGTTCTGGTCCGAGGCCGCTGTGCCCCATTGCGCTTACACCGCAACCCCGGCTGAACATCAAGCCCTATAGGGCCCCGTCTGTGGTGAGGCGCGAGCGGAAAGCCTTCCGATTGGTAGGTTTACTTGGAGTTGGCCAATCAGAGCGCTGTACGTAACAAACATGTTGACCGTGCTAACGTAAAGCAAACTCTCTAGTCTATCGTAGTTTTGGTAAAAGTTATACTCATTCTGTTTGAGAAGTACTTTCTGTTTAAGAGAGGTGGTTTTAAATTTAAATTATTATTCTTTGATATGTATATGTAAGATACAAAGGTTTACGATTAATTAACAATATAATTAGAATAGTAACAATAGGTACTCGTCCTTAGCCCTTTATTGTTCAAAACAAATATGAAATTAATCTTTAATATTAATTTGTACAGACACAAGCTTTAGCTTACGCATTAAATATGGATCAAAGGTGTGTGTGTGTGTGTGTAATGTATCTTTTGCCAGTGAAGACCGTACTTATGTTTTTTCATGGCCGTAAATAGTTATAAGGTCGTCTGTTTAAATTTTCTACGTTATTGGGTTACAAAGATCATGTTAATATAACTGGATCTAAATAAATTACTTAACAAAAATATTAATTTATCATTAATGTCATTATGTAAGAAGTATCTTACATAATGCTTATAAGACAAAAAAACACATTATAATTTCTAAAACAAAAATTAACAGAAAACATCTAAAATTAAATACCTAAATCGTAAAATGAATGATGGAAGTATAAATATAAAATTAATGAATGGAAGTATAAATACACGGATAGCTTATTTTTTTTTATTTATAGCCTAGGAACAACAACTTTTATGATATTATAAGGGGATGATATAAACAAGTAGATCCATCTCTTAGAAAGCGCAGCGCTTTTAAAAAGAAGCCGTACCAACATTATGCTATTTTCTGAAAAAAACATCGTATCGAGTTTATGTTTACAATAAAAGTAGCGGGTATTAACTAGTTTATACCCACGTTGACCTGTTACTGACGTTTTAATTAATAAATACTAAACATGTTTATTCTTGGTTCAAGTTATGTATTATGAAATCTGTGCACACTAACATTTGGAGTACAATAGGAATAGGCTACGAGAACTAATTATTAATTACCCTCTCATTATGTTCGTACGCGTGGAACATTGTGTTTATGTAGTCGCATACTAGTGTGGTTTAGTTGCTGTGAAATTACAAATTATAAATAAAATAATAATAAATACAATATTTACTAGATAGTATTAACGTCATGATTATTCATAATTTTATATAAAATGCTATTAAATTTTACAAAACACAATACTTTTTCCCGGCCCAGGTTGAAGCTATACAGCGTAGCAAGAGGAATTGGGAAAGCCAAGTGAGGTTGACTGGTTGAGAATGCCTTCGGGCATTAAGTCCGCCTTTGTATATATTTTTTGTATGTACATAAAGTGTTAAATAAATAAATAAATAAAGCCGTCTCCTGTTTCAGCGAAGCAGTGATGCTTGCAAAGAAGGAGGTGGAACGCGTGAGGGAGCTATCCTCCTCACGCCCCAACCGCCGCAGTAGGCAACACTCCGGGCATCAGGGATTGAGAGATGATCTCCTGCTAAGGGTAGTTCATCACCATTCATTATGCGTACAGCCAAGGTGTGGAATTCCTTGCCGGAGTCGGTGTTTCCTGATAGCTACAATCTTTAAGTCAAGAGTGAATAGGTTAGGTAAGCGCTTCTAGGTAAGCGCGCGCCATCGTCGACCGCATCAAACGGGTCAAACGCGAACCTATAATCAATAAAAAAATCTATGCCAAATTTCATTCGGATCCGTTCAGTAGTTTTCCTCAAAAGAACAACCATACGTACAAACGTTCTTGTATGTAATATGAGTAAAATACTTTCGTTGTTACAATTCAAAATGCCAAAGTAAACCTAATTACTTACTTAGAATGTACGAGTATGCAACAACATTAAGCTTTAATTATAAATGTACCTAATTGTTATCTGTTCTCCAAGTTAATATTATTACATAAAATCCTGAGTTGGGTTATCGTAATAAACATTATTTTACTTGAGGTATTTAATCAATTACATAGACGTACGTACGTAAATAGCGTCGAATGAGTATGTACTTACATTCAAATAAGATAAACTACGTATTTCTAGAATGGTCGTTACAATACTAACACTGTTTATTACACCAGATAATTTAATTTTGTGGACATAGAAATAAAAAAATCGTATCTAATATTTTATTAAATCTTGTTCATATCTATTTGTTTATTATATCTGTCACCTACTAACATTATAAAGGGGTAAAATTTGAAAGTTAGTATGGAGAGGGTAATCTTTAGAACGAAGGGTCGGATTTCCAAGATTCTTTTACCGATAGATAGCTAGCGATAACCTAGGTGTAATGGTCATCATCAGTGATATAAATTATACTTGATTTAAGTATTTTAGTCGAGTTTTCGATCTCTTTGTTGTTGAAAAGAAAAGCGCTGCTGTTTTTAAATGCCGGGATACATTAGTGTTACACGCGTGTAAAGCCGGGGGTGGAAACTTGTAACATAATACAGTACCTAGTAGAGTTTGATACTCCTTCCCTCTCCGTGTCCTCACACGCCAACACTTTCAACGCAAATTGACGACTTCGACAGAGAAACTTTGTATACATACAGCTTATTCATGCGTAGTTCTTTATGGAATTCTAACATCCATTTCGTTTTTATTTTTATTTTAGCCGTGTTATTTACATTAATGTAATTCTTTATACAGAGAATGTATTATACATTGAAATAGAGCGATAGGAACTGGAAAAACGAAATAAAAATTGGAAATTTTCCTGAGAGAATTTTCACTGGAGTATGATTCAGAATAAGGAGCTGATTGCACGCTGTTAATTTGTGGAGGGCTGTCCCTTACACCCTGTATAACTCGGAAAAGGTCCCATTGGCATTTGCTGGATTCAATGTAGTGTCTTAACCCAAGAGCTTCCACGACTTTCTTGATCACTATCTAGATAATCGAACATTGTATATAAGGTCACGTATATGTAATATTTATAAAACGTTATTTATTTCTTAGTCTGTCAGAGTGACTTCTGACCTTACTATCATACTGGCGATAGGTCAAATCGAGACAATTGGTATATAACTTAACATGATAGTAATACGCGTTTGTGTTGTGGTGGCCCGGTGTTTAAGTCGCTTCCTCTTATGCATGAGACTGCGGGTTCAAAACCTTGCCAGGGTGGGTACCAATGTTAAAGTTTATTTGTACATTTTTTTATTCTATGTTTGAAATCGCCAATTCGCCCTGAGCAAGCCTGGCTTAATGCTCAAACCTTCTCCGTGTGAGAAGAGGCCTTTGCTCAGCAGGGCACTTACAGGCGGATGATGATGAATACGCGTTAAAAATGAAAAAAAGAATGGGACATTAAAAAGGTAGTCCTGAACAATTGAAAAGTATATCCTGCTAAACTACACCAATAACTTGACTATAGTATTGCGTTTAGTATTCTTACGTTACTGGAAACAAGTACCTACAGCAGAAAACAAATTATGATTTCTATCAGGTGAATCAACCAATATGTAGTGGTATTTGACGTAAAAAAATTAGAAGTCACAATGCGCCATTCCACACAAAATTGATAAAAAATTGTTAAGTGTGGGACAGCCAAGTTTCGGCAAGAATGGGTCGACTCGACCGGAGTGATACCACGGCCTCAGCATCAGCTCGGAATATCAGCGTTAAACAACCACAGCGTTGTGTTTCGCCGTGTGAGTGAGGTTACCGGAGGCCCAATCCTTCCCCTACCCCGATCCCTCCCAATCCCTAAATCTTCAAAAACCCATTCCCTAAATGGTCGGCAACGCACTCGTATCTCCTCCGTTTTAAGAGAAGAAGAGGGTATTGAATGTTCAAATCGCTATTCGACAAATGAAACGTAGAATTACATTTTTTCTTTCTAATATTCTGTAGCTTTAGTACTTACCTATTAATTAATATTTAATAGTATTATAAATATTTTGATATATTTCTTCAGGCGACTTTTATCTATGTCTAAACAGAAATTAATACTTTATGGCACCTGTGCCATACCATGCCGTGGTTATGGTATGAGAGGAAGTGGGAAGTCGTCTCCTCTTTCTGCGAAGTAGTGATGCTCGCAAAGAAAGAAGGGCCACCCCTTCTTTCTTTATGTATCCAGTCGAGGTGTAAGGTCCCAAACCGAACATCTTTATGGTCCTTTGTGTACTAAATTCCTCGGCCCAGCGCAGGTAAACTGCCAACTTGATTTGATGCATGAAATTGACATGGATAAGAAAACTGTGCTGTGCTTGCACTGTGCAGAAGGTATAATCACGAATGTCTAGTTTGTATAAAGCTGTATTTGTTTTAACCAGCAGCAATGTTGCTTGCTGCGTCTATTCTTGCTTGTAGAGGATTCAAACTTCTGTCGATAATAACTTTTGTCTCAAATGTTAAAATAATTAAAGAGCGCGAATTGTGTACACAATGATACCACGAACTGTAAGATTACTCATTTGTATATTGACGATAAGAATACTTGTGAACGTGTTGGTTCAGCTATAATGGACTATGACCATACCGAATATCAGTACCTAATTGTTTACTAATATAGCTTTAAACTATCCAGACGCCTATTATGGACAGTATGGAAGCGAGATGGAAAGGCCTTTGCCCAGCAGTGGGACATTAGAGTCTAGTAAAGTGAAGTAAAGTAAAACTTTAAACTACAAATAAAACTTAAATAATTTTTAACAAACAAAAAAAGACTTCAAAACGTAAACTAAAAAGGAAAAAATAAATTTACTTTGTTTAAAGTAATACATATTTTCATTTAGTTAAATGTAAAATAATATTTAATAACTATTTTATAATCTTAAAGTCGGTGCCAAGTAAAAGAATGATAGTGTAAAGATATTACCTACATACCTCTTGCTAGTTTGATGATTAGTAGTATTCAATATATTTTTCTAATACTCTTATTGTTTGGTATGTAGTATTTACTTGGCACCGACTTCAAAATCCTCCTCCTTTTTTGGAAGTCGGTTAAAAACACTTGTAGGTCAAGAACATGGTCTTTCCTTCTTTTCTAATGTAAATAATCACAAAAGAACGAGGTAACAAAAGGAAGAGATAAATAACAATGAAATTCTTTATTATGTAAAATATTTATACATATTTACATAGATAATAATCAAGTTTTGTTATGACATCAATAATTTATTTTTTTGTTACTTTTAAAATAACATTTTTTTATGTAACAGACCGGCAAACAAGCAGACGGATTACCTGATGGTAAGCAATCAGCGTCGCCCATGGACACCAACAGAGGAGTTAAGAGCGCGTTGCTGACCTTTTGGGGATTACGGATTTGGAGATTCAAGGAATGGGTAGGGTATATTGGATTGCATCCTAATTGACTTTAGGTAAGTATGCAATAAACTGCAGGGTGTTTAATAGTATATTTTCATGAATTAGTTTATTGACAGGTCTTTAACTTCGCTACATGTTTCTCCCATTTATGTAAGGCATGATAGTGTACGATTTTGTGAAACATAATTTTTAAGTGAGTTACACAATCTGTGTATTTATTTACATAAGTAGCTAGCTTCTCTGACGCACAGTTGTTACAATATAAGTCATCTATTTGTAATGAAAACTTTGACGTTGACCATACCAAAGAGAGAAAAAATAAGGAAAAATAAAAAGAATTTATATGATACCTTTTGCCATATCTGGTCAGGGGTCATGTTGGCTGCGTGTGTAGCTTCAATATACAAAACACGAACACTAATGTGCGTCTCCACCGCCGCGCGACTGACAACTGCTCGAGCCCGAACTCGCTGACACAAACTGACAAGCGATGTGCATGCGTCACTTTACGCGATATTATCACTTAGAATAAACAGCAGCGATAAATAATTATTAAACACTTATTTAAATACAGCTGTAGATTAGACGTTAGTTCCAATATATTTCAACAAAAAGTTTAATGTTCGTCATTATACGTCGAATCCGTTTATGAAAAGTTTTTTATTATTGATTGTAGGTTCGCGCTTGACCGCTATCTCACCTGATGGAAAGCGACGTTGTGGTCGACGATGGATAGAAGAAACCTATTCATTCTTGACTTAAAGATAACCGGTCTTTCTACAATTTTGTTTTGGTCGTGAACGCCCGGATTTCATGTAATTCACTTCTGCATGTGATATCTGACAGTGCTATATAGTATTTATTAAAAAAAAAACTCATCCATTTTATTTTGGTACAAATTGATACATGTACTTGGTTTTTAAAATAATATGTAAATTATTCGAAAATCTTCTCGCGTCTTTGTAGATTTTTTCATTATGTATATAGCATCAATACACATAAAAAGCAACCACCAACATTTATTTGTTAGTAATCACCAGTCCCATTTATAACGGAAAATAGAAAATTCATGAAATAAATTTTCCTGAAAATGTTCTTCTAGGAGCGGGCAAATGTAATCACATTTCAGTATGTTATAAAATAGACGCCTTTTATAGCAATCATTTAAGTCTTTACATTTTCTGACAATTTACGAAACAGTCTATCTACCAGTCGATTAATCAAAATCAGTGCGTTACCCCGAAAAATAATCAAAACAATCCTGTTCTTATTGATTATATATGTATGCCTGGCAAAAAATACGGACATACAATTTAACAAAACACATATACACAAATTCAATAGACCGTTTCGATAAATAAGAATTATTTATTGCAAGTACCTATCAGAAACGAATGTCATTGTAATTCATGTCAGCCATTATTCAGAAAACAAATGTTGTAAAAATATAATGCGCTTATAAATATTTAACGTTTGTGTTGTAGGAGGTAGTGGATCCAGCACCTGTGTTGGGGCTTATTGAAACACGATACAGGCGAGGCTCGAGGTGCAGGCTTTGGCGGGACGAGGGAGGTTTGAATATCCTCCCACCCTTCGGCAAGTTTCGCCATTCCATCGGCGACAGTGGCCCGAGCCGGTCGACTCCTAGCTTCCCGTTTGCCGCCAGAAAGTTCCGCACCTGGACGGTAGCATTGCATTTACCGCCAACAGGCCATTCATTTTAAATGGCTCCGGGTTTCATATTTACCCCGGGTTCGATGTGAGCTCGGTTCCTACCGTGGCTCATAAAATCAGCCAATATGTCGCTCGTCGTCAAACTAAACCGGTTTAAAGTTCTAAAGTGTAAGAATGAGAAGTTCGCGCGGCTCGACTTCAGAGGTAAGTAATTGTTGTCAAAGCGTTCTTATTTCAAAATTTTATGTTAAATTTTTATTATATTTTGTAAATTTTATTTGCTATTTTTATTGTTTAAATAAAGTTTAATATGATTTGTTATATTTTTTTCTTTTCAAGCTTATTTTTGTACTGTATCCACCTTTGTCCTGTTTTTACGTGCTTAATAAATTATGTTTAATCGTCAGCTTGGTTTTAATTACGCTAATGCAATGTGGTACAAAAGCAAAATTATTTTTACCACATTATTAGCATGAAACGTTGAAGGTCGTCGGTGTTGAAACGTCATAGAAATTGCGGTATTCCTTTGTTTTCCTGCACACGTCCAGTTTGAATGGGCTCTATTCTTCTTGAAAATCCATAGGGATGGGGGTCAAGGAAATTATTAATAAACATTTTTCCCTTGTCTTACGTATTATTATGTTGAGTTTTCGTCACGAACCGAGTTTTTATAAACCGTTTGTTAATCTCTCCGCAATGAGGACCTCGAAAATAATTTATAAGGATTAACTACTTTTGCCACTCCTTAGTTTATTAGGGTAGCCTTTTTTAAGCTTTAATAAGATAAGATTTTCGTGTTATAAAACGTTCGTTGAATTTATGTAGTTTATACATTTGAAATATATTAAGGTACAGCACTGAGGTTAAGGGCAATATCTCTCTTCCTGTGGGTTTAGAAATAGCTGGCTAGTATTGAACTACTTTTACACCAGTCAAAAGAGACGTCTGCTTGTACCATTGAATGATTTAGTATCGTTGGTACAACAACATACCATAGTTCGACGGTCGCCTCTGAAAACTTGATCTCTCTCCAATGAAATAGTAATTAATTATTATTATCCCTACCACAGTAAGGGAAAGACGAGCTGATTCTCATATTGAATGAGTTAAAGGGGCGATAGAGTAGTTTGTGGCCTTTTTCTTGGAGCGGGAAGATCATGTAATGACTATTCTCAGGTAAGGTGAGAGGGAGAGTCAAACTCTTACTGACTAAAACCCACCCCGTTCCCTCACCTTCTGCAGGTCAGGGCTCATTTACATTATTACTTATAAAAAATCTGCTTAAAATTTGTATATTTATCTTTCTTTCACATCGCAGTGGAGTAAAAGGTATAATTATTTATATGACCCTTTGTACATACATACAATGGGCGGTAAACAAGTATCAACTTGTTACACATAGCTTATTATTAACGCGGTGCGCGCTACGTACTACGCCCAGGTACACCGTTGGGAAATAGGCGTGATTCTGAAACTTTTTGATTGTGTTCCAACAAATGTACTTTTGTATTGAACTAATAAATAACATTGATTGAGTTGTTGCAACAGAGTAGTTTTTTTCGCAACTTGTAATTATACTTTCTATGAACATTTACACCACTGACACGAGGTGAAGGAAAAACTCGTGAAACTTGGATTTATAATTTCTGATTATCAGTTTGAAATCGCCAATCCCCCTTGAGCAAGCGTGGTGATTAACGTTCAGACCTAAGTACCCCGTGTGAAAAGAACCCTTTGCTTAGTACTTATAGGCTGATGTCGGCCATGTTGGGCCCCGTCTGTGGTTGCCAGCCGCAGACCCTCGCTTATGATGGCCGGAGATCGTCGCTCTATCCCCGACGCCCGGTGTGTCGCCTACTGCATCGGCTAGGGCGTGAGGAGGATAGGTACTTCCGCGCGACATCCGACGGTGCCTTTGGGCTTTTTATTCCGACCTAAGATTAAAACTTAATACCCATGTGTAAAAGTCAAAATATAATATAAATTATATCAATTGAACTATAAACAGGCTTTTAAAACGTCAAATTTGTTCGTCAGTAAATCAAGGTGTTAGGAAGGACTAACAAAAACCCTTAGTAATAATATTATATCGTACTATATATTTGAAATCTGTTATACGGGTAGAAGCGAAGATCAAGTCAAAGGATTTTGGAAATTATAAGACAAGGGCCATTATAATCTAAGTGTCACAACTTCTCAAAGGCTAAGAGTTCCGTAGCTACAAATCCCAATGAAGATTTGCTTTAAAACGTCTATTGCGCCTTTGCCCACTTGTATAGCTACAGCTTTAAAAAAAAAACAAAAGCCTTAAGGTTTTTTATAATCTGTACTCCTGAGCTACTTAGAATGTAATCAGTTTCTTTATGATCCCGTCCTCTTCCATCTTGTGCTGTTTTGAATTAGTTTCTAGAAACATCAGAATTATCAATTTAAAAACAACTAGTTTAGAATTTATAGAGAAGAAATGTAAATTCATTTCTTTGTACATTTCATTACTCAAGTGAAATTGAAAAAAACTTCAATGTAATCTTTATGATTTTCTTCTACTTTGTTAAGAAACTCAACAAAACTAAATAGGTTGGTAGGTAAATTATTTTTATTATTTATGAGCGTTCATTATTATTATAAAATTCAACTTGGAAATATAAAAGTAATTGTTCAGTTGGATAATTGTTTTGGATTATTCTGAGAACCTACCTATATATAGGTAAGTAGGTAGTTATCATCATCAGTCTGTCTTTATAATCGTTAGTTTTTTTATCAGCGGTTATTCACCATGTGTGCATGTGGGCGGATTGGCGATTTTCAACTGACAGTTTTCGTATTTTAAATTGAAGTTAGGTGGGAATAAGATTCAAAATACAAAACCAGACTCAATGTTTTAAGCCTAGACTGAAGATAAATCTTGTTTTGTAATAAGATGGTATGAGAAAACCTGGACTTTGTTCCAGGTTTCCTCATGATATTTTCCTTCACTGTAGGCCAATTGTGTCTAAATAATGTTAAATGTGGAAGAGCCATGCCTCGGCACGAATGGGCCGGCTCGACTCTGGAGCACTGATACCACGGCCTCACAGAAATCCGGCGTGAAGCAACACTTTCATTGATAGGAGTCTCAATCCTTCCTCCATTCACAGATTCAGGATGGGGGGAGACCCCATCCTGAATCCTTAACTCCCCTATTCTGAAATCCTAATAACCCACAAGAGGCCGGCAACGCACTTGTAATAACTCATTTGATATTATGAGTGTCAAATTGTCAATGGGCGGCGAAGATTGCTTACCATCAGGTAAACCGTATGCTCGTTTGCCGACCTATGACTTAAAAAATAGGAAAGTATAACTCGAAAAAAAATTGTAATAGTTATAGTAATTGCGAATTACTAATTCCATAATGGTCAGAACGACAACTATATATAGACTAGAGTGAATAGGCTCTTCATTAACTAGTGCGCCTTACCATCAACGATTGCATCACTGCTTACCATCAGGTGGGATCGCAGTCAAGCACTAGTTTATTGCAAGTAAAAAAAAATCTATACCTCTAGAATAGGCTCCGGGATATTTCCAAGATGTTACGAAAAAACTGGAAAACTTCGAGAGCTGAACACGACACTATTCGTTGACTTGGATTAAAAAGAAAGTCTTATTTTTTTTTTTTAGCGTTTGCCTTATTAACTCCTAAATTACGTACTGATGAGATTTTTTACTTCAAAGTACTTATGTAAAAGTCTTTCAAAGTTACAATTTAATAATGTTTCCAATTTACGAATAATAAGCAGGAAATGTAGTCTCTAAGCATTTTATGATAATAACATACCTACTTACATAAAATATAT